TAAATAAGCTGATTCGGACAGGCAGCCTGAGTTAGCCAGTGAAAAAACTGTGAATTAAGATCTACTACTTTTGTATAATGAGTAGTGTAAATAAAGAAGCGAGAGTTTTCACATTAAATGGAAAAAGAGAAATATGCGAAAAAGGGAGGAATTTGAATGCAATAAATCAGGACTGAAAGAATCACTCAATGATTTAGTGTGACTCGACTTTTCAGTTAGAAAGACGAAATAGTCTCACCAGAAACCAAAGGAGGATTGCGTAGGATTGAAGTGAAGACTGTTTGGATTGTGCGAAGAAGAGTCCAATTAAGCCAGGACAGAGGGCAGACAACTTATTCGCACAATCCAAGTCTCCACTCCACTCCCACGCAATCCTCTCTTGGTTTCCGGTGAGGCCAATTTACGAATTCCTTAAAAGCAACTTTTTCTTCGAAATGAAGTCAAATCACATGCAAGTCAATGTACAGGTGAAGACGAGTGGCAAAGGGATTGACGAGAGAAATAAAAGTGTATAAAGGGACGCTGAAACATGTAAGCAAGTCAGGAGGTCAAGGCCTAACGAAAGGTGACATACGAAGTTGGAAGACGAACACTCAAGGGGAAGTATTGAGATGAATCTTTGGGAGATAGAAGTGTACTTTGAAGTGCGTTGAAGGTGGATTCCCAAGCCAATTGGTGGCATCTCTTGAGACGAGATGAGAATGAAAAAGGTGATGTAAAAGTGGGGATCAACCGGTCTGGAATCGGTTGATCATGCTCTTTACCAAGCCACCAGAAAAGACTCCCTCTCCCTTAGAGCAGTCTCTGTCCACCGCGTCGTGGTGGCCGGGTGCACTACGCTCGGCTGTTCCCGAGACACCGGGTCGTGATGACTGCCCCTCTGCGACCTGGCAGATGGACGAAAAGGTCAATCTGGCCGAGGACGTGAAGGTGGCCGTCGAATTTGAGGAGGAGGAGGAGCAAGAGGTGTAGTTGGACAATCCTGAGGTCGACGCCAGGCGCATGGGCCGACAAGTTTTTTCGTCTCGGTGCGCGTTTTTGCCGTTCTGAGACGAGGTCAACGGAGCAATGTGACTGTTGCTGGTGCTGGTGCTGGTGTCACCCCGAGCGAGGTGGCCGACCTTGAGGGTGACCGGGACTGAAGCAGGGTTGTTGCCCCAACGACGAGACAGGCTCAGCTCCCGAGATGCATATCCTTTCGTAAGGCCTTTGAAGCCAGGGTGGGCGGGAAAGAGAGGTGGAGAGCATCGAATAAAGCATACAGTATTCAAAAAAAGCGAAACCATGCAAGGTTGGTGGTGGTCAAGGGATTGGAGATGCTTTGAAGGCCTGTCTTAGCAACGCGGACCGTCATTGTCGCCTCGATAAAGCCACTCAGGACAGCTGTAGACGACTGAACAAGAATGCAATGACAATAAAAATGGTTCTTTCCAAGTTACTATTTTGGTTTTTCCCATGACCAAGTCACTCTCGAAAAGGGAAATTTGCATGCTCAGTGAACGAAAGCAATGGGGTTTTACAACAAGTCAAAGAGACAAGACCACTTGACGAGTTGTGATATGGTGCTACGAGTAGCGAGACTCATTGACGATGCCGACTACGATGCTGGGAAACGTCTGGGAATGTATCACGTCCACGGCGATGGGGTTTTGTCTCGCAGCCCTCAGTAGCATAAGATTGTTGTTTCGACTAAAAAAAAGGGTCTCAATGTCAAGCTCCCATTAAGACTTATTTTACGACTAGACAAGCAGAGCTCTTCTTGACAGGAAGAGAGTATAAAGTTGGGTATTTACTTTATTGTTGTGCATATTTTCTTTTCAAGTGAAAGTGTTTGGTGAAGAGATTCGAAGGTCGGTTCCACCAGAAGACAACGGCGGATTCCTTTTGACCAGCTGTCGATTGGCTTTGCTGCAACATTCATGCTGACTCTGTTTCCGAGGCAATCTCCTTCGATTCCGGTGAAAAGGTACTAAGCTTTCGTCCGTCATGTGACGAACATCATCAGAGAAAGGTATCATCGTCGCAACCAAATTCAAACAAAAGAGTCAAGAAAGCTTAGTACCTTTTCACCGGAATCGAAGGAGATTGCCTCGGAAACAGCGTCAGCATGATTGTTCCAGCAAAGCCAATCGACAGCTGATCAAGAGGAATCCACCCTAGTCTTCTGGTGGAATCGAGCTTCGAATCTCTTCACCCAACATTTTCATTCGAAATGGAAGTAAGCTCAATAATTATGAAACAATAGATGCCTCAAAACCCAACTTTTCTTCGCATATTTCCTTTATTTAATGGTTTAAATGTGTCAGTAATGGCTCTGGCGACTAGAGCTTCTGGAGAAATACTGCTTCCAAGTAAAGAAAAGATTGGTTGTGGATGGTCTGCTGCGAAGCTGGAGCTTCTGAGATTTTATATTGAAAGTCTTTATTGAGTTGTTCGGACTTACGAGGCCCTTTTGGGGCTCGATGAAATCGAGTCTTCCCTCCAAGTGATAGGCATCTGGTAAACTTACCGGTTCATTCGTACCCAATAAAAGTATTCATTAAAAATGAATTTTAAGAGGTTTAAAACGATTTCTTTGGTACAATTTCATGTACATCTATGCATAAGTCGTCAGGAGGAGGATAAATTTTGATTGTGAAATGAAGTGTGTAAAAAATACGAAAGTAAGTAGAAGCTTGACTAAAGTGACCGGTTGAGAGTGGAAAGAGCAAAATCAACTAACCAGCTCATTTCTTTCATCGAAGCTGCGTAGGTCTGAAGATGTTGAAGTCTGTCAAGTAACAGGAAAAGCAAAAGCTTGTTGAGCTTACGTTCATTTCGAGTGAAAGTGTCTTGTGAAGCGATACGAAAGTCGATCCAACTAGAAGACGACCGCCAGCAAATTTCGCTTGACCAGCTGTCAATTAGCTTTATTGGAACATTCTTGTTGAAGCTGATTCCGAGGGAATCTCCTTCGACTCCGGTGAAAACGTACTAAGCTTTTGTCCACCAGACAAGTGTACAATCCTTACAGCCATATTCAAGATAATGAATAAAGAAAACAAAATCTTGTCATGCTCTCTTTGGAATGCATCAGCAAGAGTCACATAAAAAGTCAAAGTCAAGCGGGATCCGATGTCGTCTTCGGGTGAAATTTACCCTCAAATATCTACACCAAACACTGCCAAAAGTGAATTCCACTGCAGTTAACGGGAGTATAACCATGGGGATACGATTCGTCGTTGACCTCTGTATTATATGTCCTTATTCTTACTACTCGGTTCAGTATTTTTTAATAATTTTTAGAATGATGATGAGGCTGGTATTTTTTTGATACGATTGTAACGACTGCTCCAATCGGTTCGTTTCAGAAATGGAGTGTAATTCGACTCCCTTTCGACATGCAATACTACTCGCTTTCCAAGTTACTTCTCAATTTGCCATTCAACATCGTTTTTTCCCACCAGAGCTTTCTTGTGCCTCCATCTTGTGCAGTCCAGCCGTTTAGTGCACCTTTTCA